AGTTTTGGTTTGTTCCTCTGAACAGGTACACTGAGAATTAATTTATTTTCCATACTTGAGAGAAAGGAAAGCATAGTAACCTATTGTTATTAATGTTGTGTCCTAGCTTAAAACCCTGATTTAAACTGATTTTAATAATGTCAGTACTGAGGTGAAATGAGGATTTAGCATGCACTAAGTCTAATTGAGAAGATGGCTCTATTTCTCCTCCAAAAAAAAAAAAGGAAAAAAAAGTTTCTCAGCAAGACCTAATAAAGGCAAAAGTTTCACCTGCTACCTGTTTCATCGCTGGTTTTGACCACAAAATTCTTGGCTCTTATAGGTGAGATACTAAAATGAAGCCAAATGGTCTAAGTTGCTCTTTCCGACCTTTAATTCTGAATGTGTTCTTCAGCTCAGATTTAGATGAAACTTTGGCATTGCTATCCTCTTTGGTCAGGAAATAATTCTTCCTTCCTCCTACCCACATGTCGCATCCACAGTTCAGGATCATTCCCTGAACAGCTGTACCTTTGTGCTGACTTCAAGGATTAACCATACCTATCTCTTTGTAAGGAAAACTCAGTGTGTGCTGGGATAAAACTCATAGATGAGGCTGGGAAAGAGAGCCCAGGAGAATCTGACTATTGTGGCCGCTGGCCCTTTCTTCTCACTTGCAGGAAAGATCTTCTCTGTCTCCAGAGAGAATTCAATCCACAAGGACAAATCTTTCCATTCAAGTGGTCGGTCCTCAAGGGAATGTATCTTCTTCCCATCTCTTTTCCATTTAAAAAGTTACTTGAAAAGATGTATTTCCATTCAAAAGGAGGCTTTTGACATTGTTTCTGACAAAATTTTTAATACGGTCTCTTTTCGTATTTACTCTCCATTGTCTTTGTACAAGATTTAGCCTGACCATCATGCCTTCAGAAGAAAGGACATCTGAAGTAAATACAGGAACAGAAATGGATGAACAGCTATTCAGGAAGTGGTTGTTGAAGTATGGAAGAAAAAGGGGTTTACACATGTCTAGTGCTTGCAGGTAAAAAAGTCAGAAAGACTACTCTGAGGAAAAGACAAAAAAATCTAGGTATTAAGGGTGATTTAATGAGTGATGTTACTTGTAACTCAGAAGAATGATGAAAATATGTGCTTTTAAATATATCTAGAGCTTGACTATAGGAAAACAATACTGTTAAATTTTTAGAAGGGATAACAGAATTTCTGGGTCTTTAATAGTAAGGAAAAAAGTATTTGCTTTCCTTCCTCCCGAATTGAAAAAAACCACATGTGAAGTGGGACTCTAAAATCTTCTGGTGATCTTGACCATAATTTGCAAAGATTAGCACTGGTTAGCCAAAGATCTCAGAGGATATTCCAACAATGCAGGCAGTAGGATATTTATGCAGGTGTTGACATTGGCAGGAATGATGAAGGAATGATAAAGCTAGATTTGGTCAACCGTAGCACAGATTGCTACAGGATGCTTTCTGCAAAGGGAGGGTTTGCAGCTCTGACACAGATAAAACCCCTCCTTCATCCAAGCAGCATTGCTTTTGCTCCTGACGTGATATGCTACCTCTGGGAACGAGCAGTCTGTATCACAACCCCTCTTTTCCAAAGCCCATTATACAGTAGCTCCAGCACTGTCAACAATTTGGGGTTTTGTGTATGTACAAGGCAGGGGTAATATTTGATTAACCTTTGATTAACTAGGGTTGCATTGGAAAAGAACTTAAGCCAAATCAGATGCCTCTAAAGGAAACAAAAATAACCAGCCAATGTTATCTATCTATCTCCACTTAAACTTGCATTTTATTATAGAACATAGCTAGAGTTGTGAGTTTTAGATATCTAACTAGTTATAAAAGGATTAATAATATAATTAATATAATGCTAGTAATAGGCTAAATAAAATGACAAAGATAAAAACTTCACAAACTTTTAAGCTATGGAATTGCTAAAACTCTGATTTCATTACAGAGATAGTATTGAAAGTATTTTAAAAAAATGTCCTTTTTATTTTCAAAGCAAAGACACTCCAGCTAATCAAAGACTATGAGTGACTCATAACACAAGCAAATTACAGAGACTTTTGTAATGAATCCAAAATGGGACGCAAATCCATTTCAAATATTATTCAGGAGTTATTACTGTGTGCTGTAGGTAGTTAACACTTATTTCTCATAAAGCAATTGTTAGCAAAATGCTCCTGAGTTTTAAGTGAAATTGATTTAAATGGCTGGAAGAAGTTCTCACTTTGCAGTTCTATTAATCTAATTATCTACTTATATTTTGGTGATCTCCATAATCTAACAAGCTGGGAATTACATACACTCTCTCTTGGGGAAAAAAACGGTATTCAAAAGGATGATGAAAAAAAAAAAACTAAAACAAATTTAATGGAAAAATTTTGGGGGTAATTAAACAGTTTGCAAAAGACCCCCAAACAATAAACAAATCAAAGAAGCAAACAAACAAAAAATTCATTGATTCAACTTTTATTTCCTAATTTTTTTTTTTAAACAAAACTGCCCTTTTTTGGACAAAGGATTAGAAAATTTTACTTAAATCTTTCATTTGCTTTCTTTGACATGCTGTATATGTGCTTTAATTTCTGCACATTTCTAGATGTTGCACTTCTAGATAAAAATAGATAGCCCAGGGAAGTTTTGTATATATTTCTTGCTCAAGTATCTAAAAGAATTATCCTGAACCATGAGAGAATTTCCTGGTTCTTTCATGGCTGAAAGTCATTTCCTGACTGCTGTTGCAAACCAAAACTGATAAACAACTACTAAAAACTAGAAGGGCACACAAATTGTACCACACCTTTAAATCTTTTGAATTACAGAACCATTCTTGAATCTTTGCAATTAAAAAATATAATATGCAAAAAAAATATCTTTTGTGCAAAGTGCAACACATAACTGAATCATATCCTGAATGTTACTAACGGAATGATGTAAGAAGATTGCCTTGTCCATTACACAGCTCAAAATTATATGCAAATAAGAATTTTATCTTTAAATATGCAACCTGTAATTTAAGACACTAAATTTCATGCTTCTTTCAATAAGCTTAATAGTATTATCCCATGTATATTCACAAAAAATTTCAAAATGTGCCCTATATGCAGGTTCTTTTCTTAGAAAAATTTTATGCATGTCATCACAGTCACTCTTAGAATATCTAAATCTTTACTATGATAACTTTATTACTATCCTGATCTTTCAAAGTATTACAACTGAAATTTAATACACTGCATAAAGTTCCACATCCTAAAGCTAATCAGCTTTTGCTTCACATACTCAATTCCAAGCTATTTTGTGTAATATATGACTGATTTTTCATAATTCATTTAAGGAAACAGACTGACCAAACCAAATTCTTAACTAACAAAGACTATGATTTCAGGAACTGAAAGGAGTTTCATGCATCTAAGCTTAGCATAGATTATACCACTGATTCACATACTTCTCTTGTTAAATTCGAGACTCATAAAACTTAGCACACAGCAAGAAAATGAGTCTTAATTTAGATCTACCTGTTTTGCTTCTAGTAGTTTAATCTACTGAAGTGCAAGTCCTAAATTGTTCTACTTAGGTGTTTTGATCTTGTATTCTTATGTTTGTTCATATATATCTGTTTAGTGCATTTCATAAATGATAAGAGAAGACATGATATATTTGGGTATGGTACTCTTCATCAAAACAGTGAATTTTGGCTGCTCAGTATCCTTAGCACTGACTTGCTTTCATTTTATAGGATAAGAAACATTCCCTATCAAACCAAATCAATTTCAATGAAAAAAAAATGCAAAAACAAATCAGCAGCTGTATATGAAATGTTTGGCTAGTTTTAATTTCCTTCCTGTCTGCTGAATTTTTACAGCCTAATGAAAAAATATGAAACACAAGTAAAGGAAAAGAGGTGACCCAATTTTACCATTACTCCATGAACCAGAGAGATTTTGTTACATGACAGGATGATCATCAAATGAGAGAGTTTTTATCTGCAAGTACAAAATACTTGTGTTATCCTATCACTTTGAAAAATTCCATTTGTATTACATTCTCTTCCGGAATCAAAAAGAACAATCTATTAAAAAAGCAACCAAAAAAACCCCCAGAACGAATAAAAAAAATCCACTCTTAACCAAAGAGTTTATGGACCAGCTGCTTCTGTTTAAGCCCAACTGCTTTTGTACTGATGCAGCATAGGCTCAGGCACGATGTCATCTGAAGGACCAGCAGCATATATCCTGGTTGATCTTAAAAATATGTAGGGAAGCCTTTTCTCTCTGAATGTGCATAACTTCCACTGGTGGAGAAGGCAGTTGCTCACATGCAGAAAATAATAACATAGACTAAATGACCATAGTGGATAGAGATGTGTGTTGGTTCTACTAAAGAAACAGACAGTGATTTTCTTAATTCTTAACATTTATTTATTCCCACTGCAACATAGCACCTAGCTGTAAAAAGAACAACCTTCTAATGCTTCTTGATTGCTTTTGTATGACCCTATGAGGATGGAAATAATTCCAGTTCTTTATTACCTGTCTCCATCTTTTCATTCAACCATCCATCCATCTTTGCCCTCCTTTCTAGTTCTATGGTTTGATATGCATGCAATGGAGATATTTGTATTATATATAATTTACTGTACACTTAATAGAAGATCTTCTTGTTTTAAATGTTACAAGAAGAAGAGAATAAATGTAATGAGGGCTGCAGCTTATAAACAGAAGTACAATACACATGTTCACAGGAATTTAGAAAGTATAATGACATTTACTATATAGCCAGTCACTTAGGAGGATGGCCCAATATATACCATTCCATATGCCAAGGAACAACGAAAATCTTTAAGTGATAAATCTGTTTCAATGTCATGGGAACACAATTGTCACTTGTCATTACTGTGCATCTCTCTATTTCTTCATACAGCCTAAACTGCCTATTCTTCCATAATTCAACACATTTAATAATGTAGAAAATCAATTAATATTTACTGACCTGTCTCTGCTTCTCCGTGATGGGAACGCAGCATTACAGCCAGCCACTGTGCAGACATGCATCTCTTTTAAATGAACATTTCGGTAGTGAAGCTTCACACTGTAGGAACTCTTGAAACTTTTCTTGCAGACATAGCAGATCTTGGGGTCTGGGCTGGAGCACATTTCACCTTCTGGGGAGAACTTCTGAGGGCTGCTGTAGTTGAATGTAGAAGCAAAACTTTCATGAAGAGCAGCCATACTGGCACTGCCTCCATTGTACAGTCCATATTGGCTCATATAGAACATATCATATGTGGGGTCTGTATACTCTTCCTTCACCTTAATGACATCCTGGTTGGAAGAGTCATTGTGGTTTTCATCTGGTCGGTCACTGTGCATCATAGATTTTTCACCAGGTTCATGAAGGCGATCATCACCTTCCAAGGATTCTTCACATAATTTGGGCTCTGATGACTCTGACTCATTTTCATAGTCTCTCTCATGCTCCTGGTCTTCTGATGTCATGCTGTCTGCCCTTCTTATGTCTGGTCTGGACATACATCTGCTTCTGTCACTTTTGGAAAAGTCTTTAACAGACAGGCCAGGGCTCATTTCCTCCTGAGAATGGCAGTGATTGTCATGACCAATGTCATTCACCATCGTGCTTCTGTCATTCACCTCTTCGTCTTCATCATCAAACTCATCAGCAGTGTCAATAACTTCCTTTTCAATTTTAACTGGCATGCTTGACTTCCTTGGCTTCTTCTTGGGGGCAAGGTCTGCATTGGGCTCTGGGGTGGGCATTAACACTGAAGGTACCGATGACTCTGAAGGAGGAGGGGGATGCTGCTCCATGCCACTAACAGCTGGTATTATGGGACTGGTTGGGAGTGAGGTTGGAGGACTCACCATCTCTCCAGGAGTAAGTAAATTTCTGTAAAAAGGAGGAACAGGTTGGACAGTCTTTAAAGCTGGGAAGACCAGCTGACTGGGAAGAGGGTTCTGTAGTACTGGGTCTAGAGGGGGAGTGGTAAACCCCATTGGTGGACGCCCAGGGCTTGTTAAAGTTAGGCTGGATTTTGTACTTGCTATAACAGGAGTGGCAGCACCTGATGTAGCACGAATTAGATCTTTGTCACGGTTATTCCTTAGCATAGGCATGTGGAGGCGAGGATTTGGGTTAGCACTGTGGCGATTGCGGCTTCTGAGAGAGCTGAATACCATATTGCAGCCTTCAATAGTGCATCGATGCTTGATTTTCAGGTGCACAGCATTGTAGTGGATTTTAAGAGTACCTTTGTCATAGAAAGTTTTGCCACATGCATTGCAAAACACTCTTCCTTTCCTGGAGGCTGACCCCATTCTCCTCATTCTGTGAATTCGGAATGAGCTTTTTGTGTGTTCCGTTTTAGATAAATCATTGACTGGCGTAGGTGTTTGAACAGGAGAGACACAGGCTGGCTCAGTTTTGGGCTCCACATTTGTGATGCTGGTCAAAGCATTCCTGCTGGATGCTTGCTCATTCTTGAAAGGTGTAGGGGAAACTTCAGATTCACTGCTCTCATTATATTCGTTTTGGGTCGTAAGGCTTGGTTCACGGAGCCTCATTGCTGGCTGTTCCAGCAGGAGACCATTTGGAGGCAGCCCAAGCAATGGAGCTGAGACTGGATTTATATACTGGAATGGAAGCAGGAATGCAAGGCTATTTGGGATGTTTTCAAAATGATGAATGCTGGAAGGGTTGCTATTCTCCAGGTGAGCAAGGAGACTTGGGCTCCTGGTGCGATTATTGCTTTCAATAAAAGTCCTTATATCTGAATCTGTCTTTGAAGATGGCACAGCCACAGCCTGCCCTTCTTTTTCTTGAATTGCCATCAGCTCCACGATAGATTTTGTTTCTCCAAATCTCAGGAACTGCTGAAGGGTAATGATCTCTTCTTCCCTGGACATGATGGCCCAGCGGTCCAGCACCTTGCCTGCAGCATCCTAGAGGCCATATCAAAGAAACAACAAAGACAAAACACAAAGAAAAGCTTATTGATTCTGCATAATTATTGAAGAAGGTGCTCTGCTGCCTGAAAATGAAACACTAAGCCCAAAAAACAGGATGCAAACAGTGTTAATAGAACTTGACCAAACAACACAAACTTTCCATCCATGCAAATACTGTAATTAGAGTCACAGTTAGAAAAGCAGATTGAGTTTAATAGTGTCAGAGTACACAAAATGTAGACTCTGTGACTCTGTGATCTAAAATGCTTTCAGTACTTTTATTTTAACAACAGTGATCTCTATAGAATGCTGCTGTTAGAATACATTGGTAAAACATGAACTGTGTTTACACTGGTGTTGTGCACACCACTGTAAAATACAAAAAATCGTACCTTAATCACTATTAAATGGCCACACTATTAGAAAGAGCTAAATAAATACAATTGATATATTTGCTCCTTAAATATGAGCAGATATAAGACTGAAATCATTTATAGGCCATTTCACAAGAAACTTTGATTCAAGGCAAAATATCTTGAAAACAGCACATAACACATCTACCTTAATCCTTTTTCCTGGAGTATTACTGGCAATTGATTGATTTTTGTAAGCTTGTGACGCTGGTATGGTTTAGACTTGAGAAATTACTTTTTTTTGTAGCTGTTTTATAAATGACAGTTAAAAATATGTAAAAAAAGTAAGGATCTGATGGATGTAGATAGCATAAATGTGTAAAAATGTTGTCTCTTAATATTGCCTTCTGATAGCAAGGGAAAAATCCAGAGAGAATACACATCAGTAATCACAAGACTATCTGTTGTTAAATATACATTAAAAAGCATTTCACACTTTCATTTTTGCTAGTAAGCATGAGATTTGCCTGAAGGTAGGACTTAAAAATTCTGCAATGTAATGTCAGGCAATCCATTCAAGCGAGTATTGATAAAAACATATTAAAATACTTATATAATGAACACATCATTTTATTGGCATCTTTCCTTTTGGGCAAATGCTGGACATAAAATTAGCACAGTAACTATAACCAACAAGAAATGTGGAAGGCCATCAAACCAGAATTAGTCCAATACTTCCTCATGCATTAGACAGTTTGAAAGCCTTACAAGACACACCACCATACTGCCTCTGATATTTTCACATCTTGAATCTCAGGTTCAGAACTTACCTGAAGACTTTGGATTACACACTGCTGCAAAAATCATTACTCTTGTTTGATTATGATGTCTAAAATGCCTTTCTTCCCCTCCAGCCCCTTTAACCCCGGATTTATTTTTTTAAATTTATTAAACTAATTAATTATTTTCAGTCTTCAGATGACTGATACTTCCCCTCCCTCACATTTCCTAGAGTACTAAAAAGCAAAACTTTGCAACGTCAAATAATAAAGCATGTGTTTAATTGATTAGAGTTGGTTTTGTTATTTCAGTTTGAAAATGTTCAGTTCAGTTCACCTCTCTGGGTTTAAAGTTAATGCTGAAGATTAATGCCATGTATGTTTCAGTACCTCACAGAAACAACTACAAAATCCTTATAAATGCTCCACATCTGAACTTTTACAATCAAACCCTGAAAGACAGTGAAACTCTCAACAGCAATTAACTTGGAAAATCTTACCCAGTTAACCCAGAAGGAAAAGGAAAGCCCCAAAATCCATCTTTGTGTAGAAAATGTTCATTCTGGATTTATGGTGATGAATGAAACATCATGATGCAGATACTGGTTTTGGTTTGCTGTATTAGTATGGAAATGTGTTCACCTTTGAACACCCCTAAGCACAGTGGACATGTCTGATTTATATGTCTTTACAGTTCTAGATGTAGCAGTATTTTACAGGCAGTTAGAAATCATCTGGAACATCAAATATCTAACAGAAATCATCCAGAACATCAAATATCACCCCCAACAAGAAAAATAAGTGAAACAAAACCAAACCTAAATGAGATGGGTGGGAGGAAAAAAGCACCAAAGCCATAAAAAAAAAAAAAAAAAAAAAAAAAAAAAAAAAAGTTTAAGGGCAGGTTCATATTTTAACACTTCAAAATTATAATTTTTTTTTTCTACCCAAATAATTTTAGCTACTCTCCCCTTTGGTAAGATCTAAAGTTTCTTACATCTACTCAACAACTTCCAGCCAACCATAGCAGTTCAACATATGGGTAATTCCTAAATGGAATTGCAAAACCAGATTTGAATCAGATTTTGATCTCCAGGCCTTTGCTGTCATATCTGACCTCATCTATCTGCACACATTTCCCATCCCAAATCATAAATATTAATTCTTTCTAACTGTAATTCCCACAGTTTAAAGATGGAAATAACATTGTCTAATTTACACTGCTTACCTGTATTGAATTAGAATTCCTGTCTGCAGCCAGCTGCAGGCTGCTTTGTAATGTATTACTGCCACATTTTATGTTTTTGTTTTAATTTGTAAATCAAGTTATATAACAGATAGATGCTTTACAGAAACTGATATATAACTAATTAAAATTTAATCAATCGTAGCTAGCACAAGAATCACTCATGAGAATAGTAGGTCTGTTACAGAGATCCTGTAACAGACCCCTACATGTAAGGAGAAGGTGGTGTCACACAGTCCCTCCCTGATGGCAGCACAGCCAGTTCTCTGCATACACAGCATAGACAGGCAAGCCTATAAATACAGGGGTTCCCTTTCAGGGAATTACTCCACATTTAACTGAGCAAAGCTGACACTTAGCTACATGAGTTACCTCTTGATGAGACACCACCACTCTTTGTTTCACTTTGTTTAAGAATTTACAATGAAGAACACCAGACCTTCAGCAGCTGTTAAGTCCTACTGATCAGAGAAACTGGCAAATAAGGGTGCGATAGTCATGGGGTTACCCTTGCTGTCATAGAAAAGCAGGGAAATAAAAAGTTACTCTTAAATAATCCTTGTCTACTCCTACTAGCTATATGAAGCTTTATCTTTTTAATTTTCAGCAAGTTTTCTGGCCTTTTTTACCCAACAAAAACAGAGAGAAATATGCAGATGCCTGTATTTCATAAAATTTGCACTGCTTATGGATACTGTCTAGCATATGCTTCAATATTTACACAGTGAAAACTTTCCATAAATCATTGTAAGCATGTATTACACAAAACTAGATAAAGAGTGAATAGGAATGTCATTTTTTGATAAAACTTAAAATTAACAAAAAAAATCTAACCATTATCCCATTTGAATTTAGCTATAACTAGCTAGGGATCTTTCTGTATATGGTAATACTTGATTAGAGGTTCAAGTCCTTTCTTACATGTAATCGATTTCTTGTTTCTTACAATCTCTCATGTTAAATTTTCTCCCTGAAGCCATTAAAGCATATCAACATTTAAATACTTCATGACAAAAGGTTCCAATTTATATTACATTTTCAGCTCACAACTGATTAAGCCAAGCCTCCAGTGACAATGTGTACCAGGAAGTCAGTGAGTACAGAGATAGCACTGCATGCATACAGCTCTAAGCCAGGCAGGAGACAAGTAAACCCAATCTGTGCTTACGTTCTTCCTACTTTGTTCAGACACCCTTGCTTTGATTTTTAATTTAATAAGTTTTATTTAATTTATTTATTTAATTATATTTTTACTGTGTGGATCTCTTTCTCATAATTTCAGTTGGAGAAAATCTTTTCATCTATAAACCATATTAAACTGACCTCCAAGGATCCAAGTTATAACCCATAATATTTTCTAACTCTAACCACACACTCAAGCCTATTATTTGAATAAACAGATCCACATGCACACATACACCATTAGACCTGTAAAGTAATTAATGGTTTATCATCCTGAACCTGCCTCCTGAATTTTGCTGACTGCATGTTAGGAAGAAAGGTGTGTGCCAGGATATGTAAGGGTACATCTTGTCCTAAACTTCTAGGTCTAGAAGAATACATGGTGGGATCAAGACTACTATCTTGAGTAACACAGTCTACAAGAGACAATGGACACCAAGATCACTCTAATTTTTAGGAGCTTAACTGGGGATGGTTGCAAAGGTGTCTTCATTTCCTGAAGGCCTTCAGCCTTTAAATCTTTCAACTGAGCTTTAAAAACTCCCAGTTTAAAAACTGCCTTTTTAGAAAATAAGGTCAGTTTACACATGCATGCACCATAAACATACACTGTAAACCTGGAACTTCTATTATGAAATCAGTTGTTTTAAATTCTTGTTTTCTGTGAGAAGCTCCCATGACTGCATTACAGGCAGAAATTTTATATGTTTACACACAGAGAAGCACATTAGTGTACATATACAACACTGACTTTTTGCAGTTCTGTGGTATCTTACTGATTCAATACTTAGGATAGAAAAAATGTATATATACACCTGACTGGATATACAGTGAGAGATGCCCATACAAGGCTGAGATTAATAGAAAGGTTGAAAATTGCTTCTAAAACTAGCTTTGTGTTTTGGGAGACACTCAAGGATTATTTTCAGGCACTATTGTGATAACTTCTGAGAAACATTCGAAGTTATACAAAAAAAAGAAATAATTGCTAGGCTTCATATTTTAGTACATTTGCATATGCACCTAAACAGTGGGTTTTGACGCATGTCAGTGAAGTTTCCTTGTTACAAAATATTGCAAAGATACATTTTTGATTAAATAATTAGGCTAGCTGAGAGTATATAATAGATTTTTCTTTGACAAGCTATTCTTAAGGAGTTGTGTATTTTCTAGCTGATCTCAAAGAAACATTTTGAATGCAGCTGTAACAGTTGAAAAGCAGACTGAAATATATTAATTTGGTCATACTATAATTGCACAGGATGGTTTTCATTAGGGTGTAGACGAAAAAAAAATCCACATTTGTTTCTAATAAAGAAAAGCCTTCATAATTTCCATGATTTAGGGTTTGTTGTTTTTTGTTTGGCTGAATTTCCCAGAAGCATCTCTTTGCTTCACAATTAAACTTCAAGTTGCTATATTCTGGGTAGTCCT